TCTTGCCTTCCAGGTTCTTACATAATAAGTATGTTATTATGAGTTGGCCGCTTTGAAGATCGCGTGTGTTATTTTTGTTCTTGTTCCTGCTGCTGTTGCTGATGTGGTTGTTGTTGTTGTTGTTGTGACTTTGCCTGCGCCTGTGGCAAAGAACGTGTTAAAATGAAATTTAATTTAACAATGTGAAAAGCAGACGCAACTGCCAAGACTAATAGACGGTTTTCTCTTTGACTTGACGTTCTAGTCGTGTGTGCGACGATGAAAAAATTATGACTTAACTTTAATATACATTCACATATTCGCGTATTGTATACTACTCGTATATGCATGCATGCTTACTTACATATTTAGGTATGGGAACGTTAGAGTTGCTTAATCACAGCTCTGGGCCAACTTTAAAACTTTCAGTTGGTGTGAGCATGTGGGCGAAGCAACGCCATAAAAAATACTTTTAATGAAATAGAAACATAGGGGAATGTTTAACAATAAGTCGCGTGTTCGTAAGACTTGTAAAATCTAAAATGTTTAGCATTTGATGCTAGTGTTAAGTAAAAGAAACAAAAACAACAGTAAACATGACAACACATAAAAAGCTGAAGAAGAGAATCAGTGAAGCGGGCATAATGAAAACCGCACGCAATGCCTTTAAGATGGGCATGCGCTTATCGCACGCACTGTGCCTGCACAAAGTCGTAGCAAAACAAAATTAAAAGGAGACTAGTATGCAAAAATATGTTGACAAATCAAATTGTCAGCGGATATTGACAAATAATTGTACAATTAAAAACATCTAGTAATGCATTTTTCTATCGCAATTACATACTTATTTGCGTAAGTATTCAAAAAATTGATCGTTAAATTAACTTTTTGAAGAGACCAATACACATGAATAAATTAACTTAATTCTTTTAAATTCTATACTTTTCCCTAAAATGTTAAAATATATTTAATTTTTTCAAAGCTTATTTCAAAGCATATTGTATACTTCTGTTGACATTAATAATTTCATCTAAATTTTTCTAATTGCCTGAAAGTTATTTTCATAAGAAACGACATAGAAAGACGTTAAATTTAAGTTCCATCTATAGATCAGTTATAATGATGGTTTCCTCCATTTTAGTTTTGTTCCTGGTCAGTGCTGAAACACATATGGATATAATAATAAAATAAAGTTCTTTTGGAAATTTACACCCTTTTTTATATTTAAAATAATAAATTAACAGTTACCTACTTTATTTTCACATTTTAGAATATTAATTCTCTAAATTCGATTATTCTGGGAGTGTTTAAAAATGTCTGTTATTCAGTTTGTAATACAATAGTAATACCATAGTACAAAAAGTAATCGCGTTGAGTGGTATTTTACAACTAAGGGGAAGCTTTTATGCCGGTATTGGGCATAGTTTTGGCAGCCACTGTGTAGAAAGCCACGTTTTTGTGTTGCGGCTGCGCACTCGTCGCTTTTGGCTCCCAGCACTTGCGTTCGCCCAGTCAGTTCTGCATTAATGAGAGCGCGCAGCAGACGTTGTCTTCGGGCCTGTTAGGTACGCTCGCTCGCACGTTCGGCATGGTGAATAGCAACAACAGTAACAGTAGGAAAACAACAACAATACTCAGCACGGCGAAGAAAACTTCAAGAGTCTGGTGTGCTTTGATAGAAAGAAGAAAATCACGTAGATCAGTCGCAGAGTGGGGCACTCATTAATGAAAACTTGTTTTGCCTTTTATTCGATTTTCCATTAAATTTGTGTGTGCACACTCTGCGCTCAATTTTCGTTGGCGTTTTCAAGTTCGTCGCGCTGCCACCGCGGTTGACTTTGCTGCTCCCGTCTCCGTGACCATCTCCGTCACCGTCGCCGTCGCCGTCGTTATCGTTCGCGTTTGTTGTCTGCGCAGTCGCAGGTCGGCGCTGCTGTTGAATGCATTGCGCAGCGCACTTCGTCAGTTTGTCAGCTTGTCAGTTCGCCAGATCGCCGGATTGTCGGATGGTCGGTTAGTCGGTTTGTCGGGTCGGCAGTTTTTCCGAGACGAAATGCAATAGAAAAATCGAAGCGAAACTAATTGAGAAGCAAGCATGTGCGTTGAATTAACATTTGTAACAAATTCGATTATATGTAACTGCATTACGCATACGCCGCGTGTTCTAATCACTGTAATTATGACATTCTATATGCAATTGGCTGCATTATCGAATTACAATTGGTTTCTGTTTACGGAACTGCGCATCAGTTGATTTGGACGCTGTTAGTGTTGTTGTTGCAGTATTTGTGTGTTAATAAAAAAAACTTAATAAAACCGAACATAATGATATGCACACCAATGACACCTCGCCAAGAGTCATTTAATAAGCAGCTCAGGGCCAAACAATGAAGGTGTTGCCAATTTGGATTGCGAGCCTCGTCACGTGATATTCGCGTCTTCTCTTGTTCCACATATTAAACCATTAAACGTTTCGACTGCCTCGCTTTGTCACACAGATCAATAACTGTTAGAGATCAAGAGTCAAAAATTTGCATGTCAAGAGTCGAGGCTTCGATTCGTTGTGCGTTTTTGTTAAATAAAAATTGCGATAGTATTTTAAATTGATTTCAAAGCAGCTTGAAGCCTCGCGTACAAATACAAACAAATATTTGTGTTCACGTGAAGTAAACACTCAAGCATTTATGTATAAAAGTAATTAAGACTTTAAGCAAATAAAATGTAATTGTTTTCCGAGTGTTATTAATACGGCTGACCTTAAAACGAGTTGAAATTGAACGAAATTAGACAGTTGTGGCTTCATTGCATACAAAACCAGAAACAATGCGTAATTCAAAATTGAATAATATTTCAAATAAGCTGACGTTGCTCTTGCCTACATGTGTAGTAGATTCGGTGCCTTTTCCATATATTAAATATTAGGCATTGACATTGTTATTATTTTCAATTTATTATAGCTTTTCCAATTGAAGTAATGGATTTTTCAAAACTTTGTTTTTAATTTTCCTGAAGCTAGCTAAACCAACTCAGGTAGCTAATTACTATTTCGAACAGTTAAAATACTTCAAAATGTTTTAAAGTCTTTTGTAACTGCTATCAAATAAATTACTCTTGATAATACTGTATAAAGAATCATTCACAGAACAGCGATGACACGTTATCAGCAAAATGTAATTGTACATTTTTGACAATACGTTAAGAACCACAGTGTTCGTGTATCAGCCACGACATCTTCTTTGTATTGCAGGATAAAAAGGCAATACACCTGAAAGATATGTGTTCCTATTTAGAAGATTCTAAGCTAAGGTGACATTTAATTTGATCATCATAGAGCTTTTATGCAGTCCCATTTCCATACAAAAAGAAAAAGTAGGGACGGGCTGAGTTAATATTAAATTTCGTTGCATATAAGACTGACATATCAATACCTTTTGCCAGCTGTAATGTGATACATTGGACGCCACTTTTCTAGCACTTTTCTAGCCCGTAGCATATTTATATCCCACTGTGGCTGGCAATGACATTTAAAAGTTCTAAAATCAAATCTCAAATTACGGACCAGCTACAAAAAAAAAAAAAAAAAAAAAAAAAAAAAAAAAAAAAAACAAATCTAATTTAAATACAGACTTGATCTTCCTCTTTTCGTTTAATAAAGTTGATCAATAATTGGCAAATAACAAAATATACAACACAGCGGGAAAAATAATATCCACAAAGTTTAAGTGCAAACAAAGGAAAAATATAAAAATAAAATAAAAAATAAACAACCATTACAGACAATTTTTCTGCTGCACTTAAAAACAAATGCAAGAAAATGACAAATTCTGTTGCACCTACAAAAATTATCAAATCTGTCCAAAGATGGAAATACCAACAACTAAATATCTAGCAGATTATCTATATGTTGTGCATGAGGATGTGCCATTCAGATATTATCGCAAAGTAAGTGGCGCTACCAATCCTACTATATATATATGTATGTATATGCTGACCAAACTCAGCAAGCAACTAAGTGTCTCAGATATCTAATTAAAATATAGTTGTATGCATGTGGATTTATATACATACATATAGTACTTACGACTGATGCTCACGATATGGTAAACGATATGGCATGATAATCGGAATATCACGCTCATAAATTTCAGACAGTGGGGTGTGGGAGTTGGACGCTTCGTTTTTGTTTACATTTTCACTGGAGTGCGGTTTTCGGTTTATTAACTTGCGTTTACTTCGGCATGTTGTTGTTTCGGATCTTTGCCGTTCCGCCGGTCTCTCATTTGTCTGCCCGCCTATCCGCCTATCCGTCTGTCCGACTGTCTGAGAGTCTATATAACTGAGCTGCGCTGTTGTCTCGCTCTCGTCTGAATGGGTTCCAGGTGAGCAAACGAACGACAAGTAACTGTTGTCTGTTTTTGTTGCTGCTTTTAACGATTGCGATTTTTGTTGTTGTTGTTAGCTTTTGTAATTTTTAGCTTCGAGCATTTTTGCTCTTTCATTATTATTATTTTTTTCATATTTATTTTGAAAGTACACACTATGAACTACATAGTTACTGTTGCTGTTGTTGTAGTCGTTTTTGCGCCCCTCTAATGGCCATTTTAAAGACGGCGGCTTATTAAAGTTTTTGTTTTCATTAGATCTTCATAATGTGCACTTTCTTTTGCCGCTCATTACGTTTGTTGTTTTTAGATAAAAATAAGAATCAAAGCGGCACCATTTATGTGGGAGAGATATGAGAGAAAACTGAACTAACCAAATAAACGCAAAAACAAATTGTGTAATTTTGCTCAGAGAAGAGAAAGAAACACAAAATGAAAATAAATATGAAGAAATTACACAAGTTGAAATTGTTGCGGCGGAAGTACCGGAAATGATATTGTAAATTGGATTGTGGTGTATGTGCCGGCGGATGCGGCTCTGACTGTGTCGGTTTCGGCTTAGTTTATGAAAGATTTCCCATTGTTTCTTCTGAAGATGCTAACTCGGTCTTTACATTTTGACTATTTGATTTCTTTCAGACAAAATGCTCCGTCTTTCGCGGTCTTGTGCTTTGCATTTGTCTCAATGTCAGCTATGCGAATGTTGTCCGCTTTCCACGCGAACTGGATCGCCATGGTTCGGCCTTTTTGTTACCCTATGTTGTACTGTTATTTCTAGTCGGCCTGCCCATGATTCTATTGGAGATATCTGTCGGCCAATTCTTGGGACAAGGCGCAGCGCACACCTGGCGAGCATCGCCCATATTCAAAGGTAAGTAAATTAAGCTCTTTTGATAAACAAAAATAATTGAAACGGTTCAGAAAAAGTTAAAATAATTCGAAGTCAGGGTAAATCAAATGATTAAGAGTTATTTTAATGGGTACAAGTATGCCAGTATGCTCTAACAAAAGGTGTTCATGGTCGATAGAGCCTAAGCGCAGCTTAATAATAATGAGTAATGATATGAGAAAGTTAAGCTATGATCAGACATTCAAATCATTTGCATACCAATTCATGTCATGCACATGATGCTACTTAAAACAAAGCAATAATACAATTTGGACGAATTTATAAACGAAAAGAGTTGTTTTTGGTAGCTACATAGGTAAAACAATAAGGCTATATAGTATGGGTTGTAATGGAGAGGTCTGCTCAATTCGTCTCGTTATATATTTATCTATAACTTGCCACGCTTCCTTCTGCCGCTAACTTAAATTTGACAACTGGAATTTCTAGTATGTATACCCTTTAGTCCTTCGATTACAGAGTTTAAAAGTAGTGTATTATTTTGTCAATGATATGAAATTTATTTGAATATAATAGAAAGATAAATGAATTATCTAAAAAATTGATTACTTAAACTGCAATCATTAATATATTTGTCAGCCGACTCATATCTAATGTTACAAGTTGAAAGATACAGAAAATAAAAAAAATAAATAAAAAAAATCTAAGAATATAGACGGAGATATGAAAATTTGTGTAAGCAACTTTCTTCAATTAAATAAAAAATATTATTTACTGCATAATATTACAAGAAAACATTTTGGCCTTCGTTTTCTATTAGCCGTTTGGGGTTGCATAATAGTAGTAAATTATTATGGTTGTGTTATGTTATGTATTATTGGGTGGTGTTATCGGGGGTTGAGACTTTTTTATTTTTTCTTAAGCAAATATAATCATTAATTACAAGGTCGACTTTAATACCTAGATCGGAAAAAAAACAGATAACCTTCTTCTTTAGGGGAATATTGAAAATACCATCTCTCCAGATATTCAAGTTATTTTGACTAATTGTAATTGTTTTGATGATGTTGCCTGTTGCCCATAGAAGAAACTAAAGAAGTTGGCGAGGTAAAATGAATTATGACCTTTTTAAATGATTTTGATATACTGTAGTTTTTAAATTAAAGATTATTTTAAATAAAACGTAAAATAATGAACAGTTTCAGCTTAAAATTTAAATATTTTGGTGTGAACTTAAGAATCGGGTGATTTCAGCATTCAAAAGTACATAATGTTTAGTCTGGGCCTTGAACCTGTGGCAAGCCTAAAGCCCTCTGGCTGTCCGAATTCTGCCCAAATATGTTTTTAATATGCATCTTAAGTAAGTACATTACTTATTTACTAAGTTCGAAAGGATTAGGATTTACAATGTAGCTATGAAAAAAAAAAAACAAAAAACGATGATATACAGAATAGATTTCAAAGGCTTACGCGATATTCGCAATTCGATTAGATGTCGCTTTCTATACAGGTGAATAGGAGCAACAACCCTTCGACGAAAGCTCAGTATGCAACCCCCAAAACAGTGCAAAGTGCAGTGCTTTGGCAAACGCAGTGAGAAAGCTCGTCAAAAGCTGCGCCAGACTGCAATGGCGACTGCACTTTTGCTGTAATTCCCAAGTTGAGATTCGGCTGTGGAACGCATAAATAGAAGGTAGCGTTGGACTCTTGGTGGGGCGGTCGTGCATTCCGCAGCAACGACGGTTGGACACATCCCGTCTACCTCACAACTCAAATTGTGTCCGTCGGTTTAGTAGAAGTTACGATTGCAAAATGCTGCGCAAACTTTCGTCATCTCAGAAAAGCAAAAACAAAAGCAAACGCAAAAGCAAATGCCAAAAAGCACAAGAGCAAACTATATATATAAATAAAAACAACAAAAGTCTAAAAGAAATCACGAAACGCAAAGATAACAGACAAAAAGAGAAATATCAGACCAAAAAATATATCAATGCAAACAAAAAAACTAAAAAACATATAAAAATACACTAAAAAACAAACAAACTTAAATGTGACCTAGTAGATAAATGTCATCATCGTGTTATCAGGACTACAAGAAAAAAACTGAAAAAGCTTAAAAAAAATATTAAAACCGCAAAATGCATTGGTGTGTGTGTCCCGTTCGTGTAAATCGAAGGCACGCCCGGACTACTTGTGCGGTCTCCGTGGGGAACCGGGACTGGACATTGGATGATGGACCCCCTCTGTGTTTCGTGGCAGCGGCAGTGACGGCAGAATAGCGAGACCGATGAACTACTACTACTACACTCCTGTGTTCTGGCGGCTTCGGATTCGGCCGGTCTCATGTTGTTGATGTCCCTGGTCAACGACAGACAAAAACCGTGAGCGTTGCAACAGGACGAATGCGCTATATAGCGCTCCCTGAGGCCAATCCTGCCTGCCGTCCTCTGTGCTGCCTCCCTGCCTCTCCGCCCCTTACGGTCGTGCGGTGAGCCGCGGCGTGTCCGCCAAAAATAACCATAGAGACGTTTAAGGCAAATTCTAAATGAACAAAAAGTATAACCAAAAACAATTGTAACGAGAAAACAAACGATTCAAAAAATGAGCAATATGAGCAAACACATAATGGCAAAAAGCAAAAATGAAACTGCAAATTACGACACAACACCTTCGAAAAGACCTCAGTAACAAAGATGGTGCTGCAATGGAATGCCTGCGTTGTATCGCCCTTTTTGGTTAAATTTTCAGATATTACGAATAACCTATTTAAAGGCCGTACAGCAGCATACATTTGGCTCTTCTAATTTTTATAGCCTGTACCCAAAGGGTGAAAGGGCTATACTAGTTTTGTGCGCATGTATGTAACACACAGAAGGAGGCGTGGCAGACCCCACAAAGTATATATATTATTAATCAGGATGACAAGACAAGTCGATATAGCCATGTCCGTCTGTCCGTCTGTTTGTATGAGCGCAACGACCTCAGGAAGTGCAAGAGCTAGAATAACCAAACTTGGTATCGAGGTTCCGCTAAGCCCTGGGCAGGTCAAGTTTATTTTTTTATTCTGATACAACCCCCCCACTCCCCCGCAATTCGTGTTTTTTCCATAACTCCCGTAGTTCTTGGAATTTCGAACTAAAATTAGGTAGCTACATCCCGTTAGTGATGTGTTATGTGATCTTATTAAAATTCGAAGTTGCTCTTATTATTCATTAAAAGGTTGTGGCATTGCGATTCGTATATAGAATCTTATTACTATTTAGTAGTTTTTAGACAAACTTAGTTATTATTTACTCAATACAAGTAGTTTCGACATAATCTTATGATAAATCTTATGATTTAGTGTTTTTCTTGAGTTGAAACTAACAATCTATCTATCCTCAATACAAGTAGTTTCGACATAATCTTATGATAAATCTTATGATTTAGTGTTTTTCTTGAGTTGAAACTAACAATCTATCTATCCAACTATAGAAGCATGATGATCATTTTTCAATGTATTTATATTTATATAGCTATAAATAAAACATTAAATTTTCAATATAAAACTAAACTATACTAAGTCGACAACTAACATGAGCGTTTTAAAACCATCACCGCCGAGAATCAAGCAACTTGAACGTAGAGTGTCGTGTTTTTAAGAAATTAGTGAATTTATCTTCACAAACTTTCACGTTTACATTTAAACTAATGCAATTTTGGAGTACTTCTGAAAGCGATGATCATGCAAATGAATGAAATTAATGAACAACACATAATTCGTGAAGGAATGCCATTAAAAGTCATTGATTGTTACTTTCTATATGTGTGATCGTTTGATCGTGTTAAGTAAAAAACTTTTTATTTTGGAATGCCACCAGTTAAGAATTGTATATTTAATAGCATTTTTGTTGTTTATAATTTTCAGGGGCCTGCATCATCAGCCGCTTTGCGTCGTGGGTGTCGGCCATTTGGATATCATTGCAGGCCGTGCTGGCACTGGCCTACATTGGCATGTTTGCCTTCAACACCTTGCCATTTCGTGAGTGCGTGGGCAATCTTAAGATGAGCATGGTAAGTGAGAAAATGTTCATTTAGTGGGTTGCACTTTTAAATGTGTTTATCTTTGCAGATTGGTTACACAGTGACGGGTAATAGTGGACAGGAGTGCCTGCAGCAAACCTTTCTGACACCATTCTGGAAGAATCCGTTGTACTTTGGTCTGCTATCGGCTGCTTTGATCGCCCTTTGGATAATTGTCATGTTGTGGTACGTATGGGGCTTATATTTTGCTTCAACTTTGCCTAATTACGATTTTTCTTAGCACTCACAATGGTAAGATTCTGCGTCGCAGTCTCTTTGTCTTTGGTCTGGCCGGGCTTTGTCTGCTCTGCGGTCTTACAGGCTGGGAGGTGAGGAACTCCTTCTCGCGCCACTACTTTCCGGAGCTATGGGGCTTTGATGCTTCGCTGTTGGTCGAGAGCAATATTTGGTTTAATGCACTGATGCAAGTGCTCTTCTCGGTTAATTGCGGCTTTGGAGCTTTGCCCATGCTCACTGGAAAGTTTCTGTACAAAGGCGATGCTGTCCGCACCTCTGTCGTGTATTTATGTTTTAATCTGCTGGTCAATGCCATCGCCGTGACGCTGTTCATGGTGCAGTTTGATCTCTCGTCCAATGGCTATCAGCTCATGGATGAGCTGAAGCCACTGACTGCCATTTATGATCGCGTTTTGTATGGAACTCAATCGCCGAACGCATGGCTACAGCATTTGATTCCCTCGCTGATCTATGCGCTGATCATTATTGCTGCTCTCGTCTCCATCACAGTGGCCATTTACACATCGACGCGTTTGGTGCCTCGTCGGCCCAATTATGTGATCTGTCTCGTTGCGCTTGTGGTTGCGGTGATGTCCTTTGCGGCTCCCAAGTTCCAGATTGCTCGAGTGCTGGACTCACGGGTGGTGGGAACGATGATTGTCACGGCTCTGGTTTTTGAGCTCATTGCCATCACTTGGATCTATGGGGCGAAGAATATTTACACCGATCTCGAGTTTTCGATAGGCCGACCAATTTTCAAGGGCTGGATGTGGCTGTGGTGCAGCTGCCCGGCCATTCTGACGGGCATCCTGGTCTGGTGGTGTGCCGACGATGATTCTGATGATCTCCTCTCTAATTATTTGCCGCGATGGGCGCCCATACTCTTTGTTCTGGGTGTTATATTGATCATAGCGTGCGTGCAAATCTTCCGACAAGTCGAGTACAACTTCTTCGGCATGATTTGTGAAGCTTCTAAGTCGGCCAAAGAGTGGGGACCGGCCGACCCTCTGGCGCGGCATGCCTGGAAACAGTGGCGGTCCGTGTGTCAGGATACAGGACGTCGTGACTTCACACTGCGGCGCCGTGGCACGCGTGACTACACGCACTCTATCAAGAAGGGCCAATACTCGACCGCCCAAAAGTATGCAACAAATGGACAAGCGCCACACCAGCCACACTGGAAGAGCTCCACACCAGGAAACAGCTCGCCCAACTACAGCGGCTCCATGTTCGGCGACTCGGCCATTGAGGAGGACATCAGCGTGGACAAGTTTCCGGGCATCAATCATCAGCAGTACGTGCCATTCCAACCCAACGATGGCAAGCCCCTGAGGTATTCGCAGCGCACGCGTCAAATGGCGCAACCACAGACCCATACGCAGATCCGCTCCCACGCACACACCCACACCCACAACCATGGTAACGCCAATGCAGCCGCATCGGTGGAAAAACATCGCGAGGTAGTCTACATACGACGTCTGTCCGACGGAGGCAGCGGCACTCATGCCACCCGCATCGAGATCACGCCCTCCAACGAGTCCATTACCTATGGCAATGGTCACAATGTGTCGGCTATGGCCCGCAATCCGTTGGGTCGCTCCACGGGTTGTCTAGCATCGACAGTGCCCCATGGCCAAAACCATCACATAAAACGCTCCGCCAGCTCCGTGGTCAACGTCAATACGCACAAGTTGCCGCCGCCCACATCGACGGCGGCTGCCGAGCACATTTGTTGGCGTAAATTTAATGTTAATCCCGAGGAGTACTCTACAGAGCTGTGAGACGGGCAAAAGAAAGAGGAAAAGAAAACGAAACATTCACATTCAAAAGACTTGTTGCATCCAAAATAACTGTATCTGTATTCAGTTTGAAGCACATCTAGCTCTAAGTTACGAGTTATGCCTATGCAAAGTGTATTATCTAGTTTTCAACTGTACATAGTGAAAATGTCTAGCTGTAGTTTTTTGATTCTAGCTCTCAACATAATTCCGTTGTCATTAATTGTTTGGAAATCGGCGAAAGCAGTGCACATAGGCATTCGGCTGCTTAGTCTTAGTTTGAACTGTAGGCCTAGAATTATATTCGTATGCATGTTGCTTATTTAAGTACTACTGTACTGTATCTGTAAGTACGCCTTGTGAATTGTGTGAATGTTACTTGTAATCCATACATACTATGTCTATGTGTAACTAAATGAACTTTGACATCGTCTTATGAATTTACATATACCATGGCGAATCTGTATTAAGTTGTAAACTAAAACACAACGATCACGAAAACGATATAATGTAATAAATAAACTAATTAGTAAATTATAAAAACGCAGCAGGGTTTTACTTGGGGAACATAGTGACTAAATATGTCGTATCTGAAAATGATAGAAATGCATAAAATTAACACTTATAATCAATAATTGCCTGTGTACAAATATGCGTATACTGCCGATTCTGACTTAGCTCTTTTAGGAATCGATTCAAAACCGAACATAGTGCTGTGAACTTTTAAAAATTCGCTCAAATGATAAAATTTCTTTTGAATAATTTTCTGTTTAACAATGCTTTCACATCATGTGCTAAAAATAAATGCAGTATTTGACGTATTTGGTAAGATTTTCTTGATGATAGGCTAAAATGCTATATATATAGATAGATAGACATACTTTTAAATTAAATGCACGTAGATTATGTACGTGATACGATCAAAGTGATCAATTATCCTTTGAGATTGGAAGCTTACCAGAACAAATACACCTTTATCTTAAATATCTTTTCTAGGCTTTCGAATGAATACGAATAAAGCAAATAAAAGCCCAGGAACTGTTTTTCGTGAAAAATTAACTCAAATAATTAAATTTAAAATTAAACGAATTCAAATAATTCATGCTTACATTTGAACGTCCGGTTCGACGTTAATGCTCTATAGACTTGTCGTCAGTGCAAACTTAATTCGATACTGCTGGCAAAATTATATAATAAAGGAGTGTTTAAAATCATAATCAGCTGCAAAATGATTTTTAAACATACAATAGTATGTAAGTAAGTATCCTTTTGTGGACAACATTCCAAAATCTAAATTTATCATTATGATAAGCTATTTATGCAAGGCAATTAATATATAACGTGTGGGGGAGTACTTTTCTGAGATCCAATGTTTGATAATTGCATTATCCCCTTTAACAAAGAGCGTAATGAGTCGAATCTAATCTAAATAAACCGGTTGTCCGAATAAGCTTACCCAGTCAGCATCGATCTAAAAGCTACACAACAAGTACATTAACACACTACCATTATGTGTTTCTCTCATATTCATTAGTAACATCTGTTGTTAATCATGATGCTTTTATATTTTGAGAATCTTTAATATACTACGAGCATAATGTTAAATTTTCAAACCGAATCTTTCTGTTGCTATTTATTTACGTGTATCGGCGATAAAATTGTAGAAAACAGGAAATCCGCTTAATAATTGCACCTCAAATACACCGAATTAATTTTGTTCATTTCAACTTCCATAGATCCACTTGCCAATGAAATTTATATTCATAGTCCAACTTATACAATTCAGCTATAAATTTAGCAACAGATGCGTTTAGCTTTTGGTTTTTAAAAAGTGAAATTTCTTGCATGGTAATTAAAATGTCAATTAGTATTTAAAACTGGTATCAGAATTTATGTACAAGAACTCGTGGTCGAAAATGCAAGTGAATATAGCCATGAATCGTTTCATTCTGGCTATACCGTTGTATGGATAGTACTCATGACGCAGTAAAACATAAAACTCATACAGAACCACACAGCTGGAATCAAAAAAACAAGTTCAACTGGATATTAAGAGCTAATATGAATGTGAATGTCACAGTTAATACACTTCAGCACTTTTGAGGAACGTTCATAATGATTTTGAAAGATTGAAATCTGAATAAAATTTATGAAGAAACATACCCATGGGCATTGTTAAATATTAAATAAAAACATCATACCATAATTTCCAAGAAGAGAAATTATTATTTTTATTCAGGAGGTGCAGGGTTTCGAGCTAATTTGCAACAAAGTAAAAGCAAGTAAAAGTCAAATCAAATATCGAATAAAAATCTTCTGCAAAAGTGTGTTCTGAATTCAATGTTGACTGTATTGATTAAAAAAAAAAAAAACACCAACTTAAGGAAATATTATAGGGTTTAGCAGACAGGACATTTTTAAGATATAAAATGAAAGTGTTTTTCTTTTTATTTCAAGCAATATATTTTACAACAATGTATAGCTCACAACATTACCTAAATTTTATCTCAGAACAGTTTTATTGGGCAACTGGAAAACAATGGCTGATTTTGTATAACAAAGACCTCCATCCGGCTAAGGCCACTAAATTTATAAAAGTCGCTTAAAAACATACAAACACTAGTTGAAGACAACAGACAATGATTATATTATGCTCAGTAAATTTTAATATAAGTATACAAATATAAATTATAACGATGAAGTTTCCTATAGAAACCGAACTATGTTGTTGTTGAACTACAAGTATGTCTGGGAAAATTGTTAATTTATGTACATTAAAAAGTCGCTAAAACATAAAAAAATACGAGTAACACAGAAATAATCTAATATTCTCAGTACAATATATTAGATAAAAAATAGCATAAATTAGAAGAACTTGTATTCTAAGGGAAAGATTGGTAAGCCATTTCTTCCCCATTCCACGAATTGTTAGACCTCCACTTGAAGTTAGATAAAAGCTTTAGCAACGCCCATAAATTCTCCATATATTTAAATAACTCGGCAGTATTTTATATACACAGGCAGTGCCTACAAAGGACCACGACCATATGAATTAAATTAAAATTAGACGAAAGGACAGATTTATGTGTATAATTAATTGGGGCCATAATAAATGGTTCAGCTAAATACAATGGACAACAGCAAGATTATGAAGAGCTACACTGAAAGACGCACAAGCCATAGACATAGCTGACACTCATTTATGCTCACACTAAAATGCTAATTAAAGTCTAACAGGTACATGCATACTGAAACATGTTTCTATGTCTGCGGCTAGTTTTTCAAACCGCATACTGCTTCCTCTGGTTTGCATAATCGAAAGCGCTAACAACAAAGTTTGTAGCTCTGTAGCTTGTATTTATTTCTAGCTGACGTATTAGCTGACTGATGAATTTTATACAAATTTGATACATTCGAGGTGAACCTGATTTCGTGGTGTATGCGAGTGTGTGTATAGAAGCATCTATGTAGAAGCGCCACTACAAGTTTGGTTTTTTCTTCTCGCTATCGCATACGAAATTCAAATTAAAGCTAATAAATACTTAGGCGTTTCATTGTTGTTTCTGTTTTATGGCCGTTGCTTTAAACTAAAATCATATTTTATTTATTTATTTTTATCTGAAATTTATTTTAATTTGGTTGCTGCTGAACATCAGAAAAAATCTAAAACTTGTCTAACCTTCAAGAGACGAGCCGCAAAGAGCAAACGACAGCACGGAATGAGTGAGCGACTGCGACGCTTGAAGCAGACTTAACTGAAGATATACAAGTAATTAAAGCTATTTAATCCCAATAATGCGTAAGCTAATTCATAAATTACTGAGGCAATGCAAAGAATTATTCACAACAGCAATAAAAAAGGGGGGGCAAGGATTTATAATTACATTTTGTGTAGCATACTTTTAGCCGCACTCTGGAGTGGGACCTGCTGCGAACATACATAGCAGCAGAAAATCGAGTTTATTATAGCCTGTATCCAAAGGTTTAAAGGCTATATTAGTTTAGTGCGAATGTATGTAACACACAGAAGGAGGCGTGGCAGACCACACAACAGGATAACAAGACGAGTTGATATAGCCGTGTCCGTCTATCCGTCTGTCTGTCCGTCTGACCGTCTGTATGAACGCAACGATCTCAGCAAGTACAAGAGCTAGAATAACCAAACTTTGTATCCGCATTCTCCTAAGTCTGAGAAAGGGCGTGTTTTTTTTATAACTTCCATAATTCTTGGAATTTTGAAATAAAATTTGGTAGTTACATCCAGTTAGTGCTTATGTATCCGTATGCTTTCAGCATGATAGCTCAATGTTGAATGAAGTTAAAGCCATAAGAATATATTCTCTGCCGAAGCTCTGCCCGCAGCTGTTGTTGTTGTGGCTGCTTTGGTTCAACTTTGTGCTGGTATGCAGCATACATATGTATGGACAAGTACACAAACACGCATAGACACTATTCTGTAGTAAATGTATGTATGATGTTGAAATTGTACACAAACACTTATGTATATATGCATGTGTTGAATATATTATATTTAATTAAATTAATTGATAATTAATTAAAATTTTTAAAATTAATTATTATTATTACTATTTTTTTTTTTTGTGTGGTGTGGTACAGGGTATTTAAGAGTTGAGTCCGCTCGACTATAGCATTCCTTTCTTGTTTTATGTTTGGTTGCTTAATGATATATATAGTCAAGACATGCGGAAGCCAACTAATTAGCTGGCTATCACAAATTTGGTCGAGTCAGTCAGTGGTGGTCAGTCGAAACATTAGAACTGGAAGAATTGTTTGTTCTAGACGTTAGTCTGCACATGCCATCACTGTCTCTTTTGGCTTTGGCTTTGGTGCCAAATTTAACACATTTCAGCCAAGCCCAAGCCAAGAAGACAAAACAACATCAAAATTGAGCCTATCTGCAATCATAAACCATTTGTTAACAATTCGCTGTCCAAAACAACGTCCAACAGCAATATCAGTAATATATAACAACTTTTGTATGTGTATCTTTTTTGCTGTTCAAACGAATAAAACTGGAAAATTTGCATTTTTTTGCTTTTAATTTTGAGTTTTATTATTTGGGCGTAGAATGCGGAGCGTTGTCAACGTCGAGCACATAACGCTATATTATATACCTACATATTATATATAATAAGTATTACCTGAACCAGTTAGTTTTATATTTATTTTCAATTTAAATTGAAAACCCGTTCAAGCTGCGGACTGTACGAAAACTTAGTTTAAATAAATCTTTGATTTTGTTTTTATTTTCGATTGTCTGTTTGCCGACGCACAAAATTGGGCAGCTTTTATGGCGCATAGCAGCGTCTCCATTTTATATTTCAACGAGGGTGAATTAATAAGTCGTCTACCTTTAGTTCAATAAACTTTTAATGTTTCCAAATGTTCGTAATGCCTTCTAATATTTAATGAGGTCAATAACTAGAAGTCCTTTAATCAGGAATTAATCATTTCCGCACAAATTTGCCAAATCGAAGGAT